CATTCTGATTATAATAAATATCTGTTGCACAAAGTTATCAATTCACTTCTCAGTGAGGGTTTCTCTTTATGTTTCTCATAGACTGAGTGGGTGTTTTTCCATATTTCATCTTTATTCTGCTGTGTTTGTTGGGTTTTTTTCTTCCATCTTCTCTCTGTCTCCTTCATTCTGCTGTATGGATCCTCACACATTAGCATGTTCCCTTTGCATCCTCTTTTGATTGCTTTCCTCGGCTGCTTCTCTCCATTTCTTTTCCTCGCCACATATATTCCCTCTCACAAGCTTTTTATGTATATCTTCTGGGCTTGCCAGAGATGCAAATGACACAAGAAAGTGATAAAAGTTGCATGTTGGCACCAATATAATTAAATATTAAAGGCTGGTTTTTTTCCTCGCTCTTTCCTTGAGATGCCTGTGGATATTGCTTTCACATTTCAGAGAAAAGACAAAGAGAAATCTACGAGGGACTTCATTTGCTCCCAAAGTTTTTTTTTACTGCATCACAAAGGATAACAAAAAAGCTGTTTATGGGAAAGCTTTGTTAATTGTAAGAAACTTGATGAAGTGCTCTGCCAGAGAGGGAACTCTCATTCTTCTGCAGAACGTCAAGCATCACAGCAGGAGGGAAATCATGGGAGAAGCTTCTCAGTGTTGCAGAACAAGTTCTTCAATATGTTTTAAAACTGACGTCACTCTTTAAGTTTGATTCTTTTATTTCTGCAAACGTTTTTTCAGTTACAGTTGTGCTGTTACATCATTGTTGCATTCATGATTGTAATGCAAAGTTTGACCCACTTTCTGTCTTTCTTTCCTGGCATTGTTCCTCAGCTCCGAGGTTCTCCTTCCCTCTCTCGCTCCTTTTCGCACACACGCCGTGTATTTACGCGTCAGTGTGTGTTTGCATCATCTGCCGGCTTGGTGTTGCTCTGCACCGCTCCAGTAAGGGTGTGTGTGTCATGGCTGCATCCCTGCATGGGGTGCCGGCCTTTCTGCTGCGCCCATCCAGGCACAGCTAAAAAAAGAGATGAGGAGGAGGAGCAGGAGGAGGAATAAAAGTGGGCTTGTTGCTTTTAATTGAATTGTAAATGCAAGCGGAGGGGGAACGGGCCGCTCCTCGCTGGGACAGACAACAGATGGAAGGCAGGGCCGAGCCTTCAGGGTGAGAGGGGCTGGCGGACAGACTGATGGACGGATGGATGCAGAAAAGGGAAAAACCACTGCAGCCTATGATTTCTTCGTTCTCTCTTCCATTTCTGCTCATTAGGAAAAAAAGAAGTCCCCACTGTCACATATCGTTTCACATTCAAATTATGTTTAAAATTTTAAAATGTTTTTACCTAAGAAGGTCCTCAACTCATTCAAATCAAGTGCATAGTACACATAAAAATAAAAAAAGGCAGAGCCACTTAATTTATTTGATTAAAGTCAAGATTGTAATTCACTATAAAACCAATTATTCACTGGAAAACCAAGTCAAGTTATATTATTTTTCCAAAAACAGAGATTTATAGGAAGTTAAATATTATCTCTCCTCTTGTTTTCACTGAAAAAGAGGAAAATTACCCCAGTCTGCCCCCTTCAGGTGATCCTGACACTGCAGGTCAGAGACTCACACACACACACACACCACACACACACACACACACAACACACACACACACACACACACACGCACACACACCACACACACACACACACACACACACACACACACACGCACACGCAGCCCCACTAGGTCAATACAGGCTTTACCCCCTGACTAGATTAAGGGTATTTAGGTTGTTTGTGCATTTGCTGTGATAATGACTCCACATGGGGTCCTTCTTCACTTTATTGAACTGATCAGCAAATCTGGGTTGATTTGTTCTCAACCAATTTAGAAATTCAGTAAAATGTTGAATATTTTTTGTTTGTGTAAAACCACTTTAACGGTTTTCACGCCACATGGATGTTGAGGCGTTTAGAGCTGGACTCTGGACGCCGGTGGCTGTGAATACTTTTATTTGGGTTCCTCTGCAGGTCAACACGAGGTCAACATCTGATGCTTGAAGTTGGCTCTCGATGTGACACTTTACTGATATACAACAAGGTCAGAGCTGGGACCAGGCCAGATAACGACACACACGAAGCTGACACACACTCACACACTGCGGCTCAGAGCGCAAGAAGACCAGACCAATGAGAACGATTGATTGATTCATTATCATATGTTAATAATCAGCTAACTGGGACAGGAACACGTGACGTCATCACATGAACTAACGTTGAGATTTTGTTGACATGTCAAACATGTTTTCGCTGTGAAATGATGGACAATTTTCCCTGAGTGCAGACGAAAACTCAGCCTGTTAAATGTGACGCGTAACCAATCAAAAAGAGAGTCTACAAAAACAATCTGAAATATAAAAGAAGGCTTTGAATCGCGTTTTGTCTTTTGCTGCAGGTCTTTTGAGGAATGTCTACCAGCTTTCTGCATCTGGAGACAAAATGTTTGACCATTTATAAAAAACCTAAATGTCTCTAAACATCGACTTCAACTGCTCAATTTAGCAGTTGATGCTAAATAACTTCAGAAAGTGCAGAAAGTGAGGAAGAAAAGCATCCCCACAGCATGACACTGCCACTTCTATGTTTCATCTCTATACATATACATACAACATTTGCATTCAATTTCACATAAATCTTAAGCTTCTCTTGTCTGCCACATAATTGCCTTTTTGTCTGTCTGTAAGTGATCCTCCTTTCATCATGAGCCCACCAGGCTGCCGTAGTTCATATCTCTCCTCTCAGACAGCAAACTGTCAGCCTCGGGTCAGGCCTGCTCCTGCATCCATCTGAAACCAACAAACCGCCCATTATTCCTCACCGTCCTCCACTGGATTCACCTTCCCTCTCAACAGTTAAACCTCACAAACTCCAACTGCTGCATTTTTATTCCGTTATTAATCTGTAAATGCGTCTGCCAAATAATTAACCTGGCTGAGTTATTTATTCCCTGGATAATATTTTGCTGCGTTTAGGAGGCAGAAGGAGGAGGATGCCATTGAAATGTCCTCCTGCAGTTGAAGGAGAGTGAGGTCGGCTGTGCTGCATGTGAGAAACCGCGGCTCCAGAGTTTACACCTCAGCATGCAGGGTACAGATGATTCATGTGGGGGTATTTTAAATGCACCTGTAACCTTTTCAGCTAATGAAAGTGAGGATGTGGCAATAAAAAGGGAAAAAGCTGCGGATGACTCATGCACGGGTTTAGGTGTAATTCCCGGCGCAGTTCTACTGATAATCTCATAGGTGCAATTAGTTTTAACAGATATTCGGTTGCAAACAGTCCTTCTTATACAAACACGAGTTTTCGCCAGTGCACGTCTAATAATGCCCAAAGTGTAAATAGAAACAGACGCTCGCTGCTGGGTTTGTGTTGTGGTGAAGCCCATCCTGGTTGGCTGTGATTATTTCTAGGAGACGTAATGCGTTGTGCCTGAGGTGAGAGGCGGTAGATGGAGGAGACGTGAATGCTTTGGCCTTGAATTTCATCCAGCGCTGCCTCCCCATCTCCCAGCGCCCATTTCTCACTGCTGGAGAGTGTGCCACAGGCTGCAGGAGTGGAGGGGCCTGGCACAGCTGCTGGAGTGTTTCAGCTTCTCAACTTCTCACTGAAACAATCATTAAAAGTGCAGAGAGGCCAGGAGGAAGCATCACAACCACAGCAGTGTTTTAGGAGCAGGGAGGCTGGCCTGATGATAAAGAATTTTTTTTTTAAAATAAGTAGACGTGTGTTGGGTTCGCATTTTCATTTTGATTGCATTTTTGCTCTGATACAATTAAAGTAATCCAAAGCAAACACAAAAATAAAATACTGTAATTTAGGCTGTTTTTCCAATTTATTGTCCGGTAGACTCAGTTTGATTTGGGACCAAAGTTGCAACATTTGTTTCATTTCCAGTGGCTGTGGTTCTGTTCCCCTCCTCGCCTGTGGGGGAGCTGCAGCAAGAACCACCAAATAAACTGAACAAAGATCTCAGAAGACACTGAACGCAACCTTTTGTTTGCATTTATCACAAAGGATTTCTCTTTTATGTCTTGCAAAAAGCCGTGAGTAATTTCTCCCGCTAATGCTAGGCTAACACATTTGTTTTGGTAGCATTTACCCACAATGCCTTGCGCCACAGTCAGAAACTGCTTTTGTAGCAGTTTCTGGTTCACATAAGCATTTGAACTGCACACCAAACCAAACGGACCTGGGAATGGAATAAAGTCTATTCTCACAAACCCTCTTTTTCAAAAAATAGACTTTAAAATACTTTTGTTAGTTTATAAATCAGAACCAAACAGGGATCAGCAGCAACCAGCTACTATGTTCCTCTAATCTGGAACAAACCTCCAGAAAAAGAGTTTTGATTAAGTTCTTATAAAAGACTGAAAAGCTCATTTATTAACAACTGCATTTAAGTAGCAGTAAGTGAAGCAAAATGTAAAATATTTACCTGCTGTTTCATAATTTTTCACTTTATATGTTGATTTGCCTTGTTACTGAAATGAACAATACAAACAAACTTGACTTGTGACAGAAAATTCAGGTAAAAAAATATATATCAAAACTATGTTCTCTCCCCTCATCGTATCCGTAACTACGAACGCGACCCTCCTGAGGAGCGCACCCCAGAGGTCAGTCCTGGTAGTGAAAGAGGCCTCCATGTGCGATCAAATGACAGCATGAAAGACGTTGTGTGTGATCTGTTTTTTTTACATGCAGCCAAGTCGAGACAGGAGAAGGAGAAATAGCTGGTAACAACAGTGCAGCTGTTGAAGCCGTCGACCTTGGACGTCAGGCTAAGTGTAATTATTTTTCATGCATGTTGACCAGATATTCACCGCTTGGGTTTTATTCAGCTGGCTTCCTGTGTGGGACTTGGAGAGACGGCGCTCACATGTAACGTGACACTTAGCAACTGTGGCTTTGACTCCTTTTTTCTGATAATTGAAAATCATATATATTCCTACCTTTATTTATGCATAAAGCACTTATTCTTCTCTGCAAACATCCATTTTCTTCCGTTTGAAAACATCTGGCAGCTTTAATGGAGATGAATGTAGTTCAACTGAAGTTTTTGTATTTTTTAAAAATTATTTTCAGTCTTTTCAATGCATAGAAGAAGAGAACCTGTTATACCAGGGCCCTGCACTGCCCCCTATCTGCAAGACGCAGTACTTTCTGAATCACCCAGCACATTTATACACGATCAGAAAGACTAAATATGTCAACGACATTTATTAAATATATTAGACTGTGGAATGTAACATGACGTACATAAACAGATATATTGGCTTTCTTGGTGCGGTATGTCATGTTTTAAACGCACCATAAGCTGCGTTTCCATTACAAATATACAAAAAAACTTTGTTGATATTTGGCTAACATTAAAAAAAAACATAATTTTGCAACTGAGGTGTTTCCATTCAATGAGAAACACAATTAAAATCCCAAGTGAATATGTTTGTTTATGTAATAAGTCTGACCAGGCATCGTCTGTCTGCTACAGTCTATTTACTACGTGTGATACAGCGCCCCCACAGGTGAGACACAGCACTGCACTGACACCACGGACAATGCATAAATTTATAGATTTTGACCATAAAAATGTTGATATTTCCACTAAAAATAATCATTGTAAATATCTGTTTTAGTTGTCGGGATTACAGTTGAAGCACTTCCTCCCCACCTGCTCATCACTGATTCCTTGGCTCTGCTGTGGACAGATAAACGTTTGAGTGAGAATCACCCGGAGTTTGGTTCAAATCTGACGTGGATTTGGAATGAGACTGAATAATTTCAATCTGAAGCAGAGGAAATGACTCCCCTCATTTTCCTTATCAGTGCGAAGGCTTTGTGCCGACATGATCGTCTCCATCCTGCTTTCGTCGGCTGGTTTATGAGGTGACACAGTCAGTCTGTGTGCTTGTCATCTCCTACATCTGTCCGCCCGTCAACCCATGTGATACAGCAAGGTATCCCAGCACACGTCCCTAAACGCCAGTCAAAGAGACAGCAGCCATATCAAAGAGAGTTCAATTAAAATGGAAAGAAGCGGGTCATGTTGGGTCAGACATCAAGATGGAGGAGGTCTTTTTTTTCTCTCCGTCTCTCCGCTCTCTCACTCGGTCTCCTGTCACCCTGAACACAGGCCTGACATTCAGCGGAGGACACCCCTGGCTGCCGGTCAAAAGAAGTGGAATTAATGCGAGAGCTGATGCTGTGGGGCAGCGATGGTGAATGACTGACACAGTTTTTGATGGAGAGCAGACATGGCTGACTCACCCTCCTCTTCTCTGTCTCTCCATCTCCATCTCCTGCGGTTGGCCAGGGCCGCCCCCCCTCCCCACCTCGCCCATTCTCCCTGGCCTTATTGTTTTACATCTCTTCATTCAGGCTTTTATGGCTGCTTCGTCCTCGTGCAAACCCATCTCACCGCCGGATGATGGGTTCCTCCCCCAGTTATCGCGGCTATTTATTATCAGCGCCGATCCACATCACATTTCTCTGACTTTGGGAAGATGGTTTTCACATTGGGCCGCTTTACTGACTCGCCATATAACAAATCCATTGATGGGACGCGCACAAACACACACAGAGAGTGACACAGAGAGGAAACCTCACATCACTATATTACACTGCAGATTTACAAGGTGCTAAAATGCTACGTAGAGTTTTAATGCCTCGTAGTGGAATACTTTGACAGCTTTTCCAGATTCCTTTTAGTGGGAAAAAATGCTTAATGCTTTTTTTCTGCTGCTGTCTTTGATAGCTGCGTGACTGCTGGCTCAGCCATGATTTAATGTGACTGAACCTCAGGCCTCTTGCACTTGCTGAGACACGATTTGTCTGCTTGGACAAATCATATTTTGGAGGAAAAGGCGTCAGTCCATGTTGATTACATCAGATGATTTCCAGGAGTAAAAGGGATTTCGAGGTGAAAAGAATCTCTTCAGGTTCTGATCTCATTTTAGAGCCAAAAAAATCTTAAAGCATGTAAAGAAATAATGTTTTCAAATGTTTAGTTCAGAGTTTGAAGATTTTTTTTAATATCAGAGAAAAAATTTAAATCTTATAATGAAAAGAATTCAGTACAACAAACTATTTTTTATCCTCCACTTGTTTGCCTGCTAAATGCAAACACATCTCTTTAATGCTTAATGCATTTTATGTATTCTCTTTTTGTTCAGTAATTAAGATGTTTTCTGTGAACTAAGTGATGGAAAAATCATAACTCCAGTTGACTGCAGGTCAGAGTTTTTGCTTCCCTTCTGTCCACATGTGCAGCTTTAGCTTGAAGGAACTGCATAAAGCCAAACAGATTAATGCTTTGAAAGATTCATTTCTGTAGTGTGGTCCAATCCTCACAATGAGACTTTTACAACCACTCACTTACCATTGATAATAATGGGACTGCAGGCAGACGTCACCATATATTAAAGTAACAGTGCCGATCAGAACCGGAGCAGAAATCACAACTTTCATCTGAATTATTTACAAATGTTGATTCTCCGTTTTGGTAAATTTGAGTTGACCTTGTACTTTCTTTTCCTGCGTATTTTTCAATTTTAATCATGAAAATGAATATAATTCTAGTTACTGAGCAGCTTGAACATGGCTGAGAAAGAAAAGTTTAAATATTTTTCCAATAAGCACTTTGAAGTCTTCAGGGAGAAGAAGCCAAATTAGTTCAGGAATTATGTGAAAACAATTTTTGCTGCACTTGATAAAATGTTTCTGTCTTGTTTCGCAAAATGAAGATGTCAGAAAATCTTCCTTTTATTTACTTTTTCCTTCCTGCTGCAAACGACTGAGTCTCTTTCTGAAAGGTAACTAGAAATCTATTGGCACCAGAGTCATGTTTTAAAGGCGAACATGTTTTAGCACTTAACCTCCACAACGAAAGCAGCTGTGGGGCCCAGGGGGGATGTGTGTGTGTGTGTGTGTGTGTGTGTGTGTGTGTGTGTGTGTGTGTGTGTGTGTTGTGTGTGTGTGTGTGTGTGTGTGTGTGTGGGTGTGTGTGTGTGTGGGCGTGTGTGTGTGTGTGTGTGTGTGTGTGTGTGTGTGCAGACTGGACTCCTGATTAACCAGGCTAGCTTGATGATCTTTTGAATATATCTTCTGTGATGAGGAAGATAAAAGGCCATAAAGCAAATATTTACAGCCTATATTGACCCACAAAAGCAGATCAGCTCATATTCTAAACTCTATTCAGGCCTCTGGAGCGAATCCACTCTAGAATTAAATTTCTTTGCAATTAGAGCTGCAAGTGTTTCGGGGTTTGACTCTTCCAGCTTCAGACTGAAACATATTTCTAAGACTTTTTGGAAAATATCTGCAGCTCAAATGGAAAGCATGTGTGAACATCAGTTCTGAAGTCTTGCTATGATCTGGACTTTGACTAGGCCATTCTAATACATGGATATGCTTTAATCGAAAGCTCCGTTTTCTTCCAGGATTGATTTATTCATCTCCATCCATCTTCACATCAACTCTGATAAGCTTCTCTGTCTCTGCTGAAGAAAATAGTTCATTCCTGAATCAAGTCATCATGATGATGTGCAGCATGGTTTTTAATGAGCTTCCAATACGACTTTGTCATTCTACATATTCCAGAACATTAGGCTGAAATCAGTAGTTTATTGTCTCATCTATCCACTGTAATTGGTTTCACGTTTCACCAGTTTAGGTGTGGATGCTCGCAGGGCCTCGTTGGACGTCCATGTTTTGTTTGGTCCATCCTCTCTCCATGTCCAGATGATTGATGGATCAGAGCTCTGGGAGAAGTTAAAAACTTAGGATGCTGTTTTAAAACATTGTTTTAAACTTCCACACAGCTTCCTCCCTGACCTGACTGCTGAGTTCAACCAATCAATCAAGTTTATTTGTAAAGCACTTTTCAGCAACAAGCCTGTTCAAAGTGCTTTATCTCATAAAAACACAAAAATGCTGAGTCATCAAAGCCAGTAAACATCACTTTCACACATCAAAATGTTGGTTGGTGTTTCTTTTATTTTGGTTCCACAGCAGGTTTTAGCCTTGATTTAAAGGGACTCAGCGTTTCAGCTGTTTTGCACTTTCCTGGAAGTTTGTTCCAGACTTGTGGTGCATAGAAGCTGAATTCTTCAGGAAGTTGTTCCTCCACTAATGTTGTCTAACAAACCTCTGAGGCCAGAAACTGAACAGCTGCATTTATTGGGACCTTAAATTACGTGCAGATGGATTTTTACAGATTCTGGAGTTTATGAAGACAAATGGCTGCGCAGCATCTTTTTAAGAGTGAAGAGGGCTAAACATAGAAACAGGCCACACTTTTACAAGTGTGGCTTCTTCCATGTCAGTTAATGACAATGTTGGGTTGATCAATTACAAAAGTTTGCGTGGCAGTGTAGCTTTTGTTTTGTCTGGCTGGCAGATGTGAACATATGAGATAGATAATACTTCAGTGTCTCTTGCAGGTGTGGGAGCAACCAGCCCCTTATTGGGAGAGGATTCTTTGTTGTTTCCGTCAGTAGTAACGTCCTGCTGATCATGTGACTCGTTTGATGCTACAAAATGTTTTTCCATTGCAGGTTTGCAACATACATCTATTCCGATGTGTCTAAAAAAAACATCCTGGAGCAAAAACTTTAAATCAGTTTTTTCAGAACTGACAGATTTCCATTAGTAAATTTATTAATTTATTTCAATTTGCCTAATTCTCTGACAAATGGAAATGCAGCTGGTGACAAAACATTTTTCTGCTCATTCCAAATAATATTGAGATAATTTCAGAAACTGTACAACATTTTCAGAAATGATGATGTGACTTTGGATTCTCAGGGGTAAAACATCATTTTTTTCATTTAGCTGGTTTACAGAGTAATGGAAACAGTTCAGTCTAAACTCCCACATTTCAGTCGGTAAAAGGCAAACATTTAAAATAAATCTATACCACATTTCTAAAGGACAAAAACTCACTTAATGGTGAAATCAGCTGGAAAAACATGTTTCCGGGGATTTATTTATTTATCTCTAGATAAATATACTTTGGCGGGTCGATGTAACTTGGGAATGA